CCACTGCATAGAGATCTTATAGGGCAGCATAAGGGGAGTGTCTAGGGGTACGCACAGGCTCAGGATTGGTGTGCCTCCAGGCTTGGAGGGTTTGCCTTGTGTTGATTGGTCAACTGGCTATTATGGCCCATAGGCCCTTCCAGGGTGGTTGCTATGCTCTGCACATCATTGCTGTGCACTTGTCTGAAAAGCACACCTAGAGCCGTAAAGCATAGCACCACCAGCTAACTTCTGATTGGTTCCTTGCCACGAGGCAGACATCTGACCCCCTAGTGACCAAGGCAAGGTCAGGCAAGTACATGTTCGGCTGTTACGGTTGCCGAAATAGGGAGCTGGTCCCTTCAGTGAAGAGATAATATTTTAAAGGACTGCTATAAATGTAGTGGCAGAAGCTGTCTTTGCAGGGCTGCAGTTGAAGCCAGCCAAGCAGCCCATGGTTCATACCTGAGAAAGGGGTGTGGATGAGAGAAAGGCTAGCTAAAGGGGTTAAGAATCCAAGACAGAGATACAGGATAGCTGTCAGGAGGGCCATTCAATACATACTGAATATGTCCTTAGTTTATTCTTTCACAATCTTATGTATTCAGCCAACAGTGAGGACAAAAAAAAAAAAAAAAAAAAAAAAAAAAAAAAAAAAAAAAAATTTTTTTAAAGCCTCTTACACAAAAAACCGGGAGAAGACTTCTATTATCATGTATAAGGGGCAAAGAGATTTGCTTCCCTTAATCCTCCAGGTATTTGGAAGCCACACCTGCCATCCAGCCTTCAGGGTCAAGAGTAAACACACCTGGGCCCAAGTCTATTGTTATTTAGATAAAAGACATCCACTGCCAAGGCCAAAACATCCTGTAGCTGCCAAACTAATGTCTTATGGAAAATAAGACATATTTGAGCTTTCTGAACTTGAGGCAAGATGGAATGGACTCCTTTTCATGGTTCCTAACTATGTAGTAGTGTGTAGTCTAAATAATTCTATTGGTGTAAATGAGTATTAAAATCTACTCTTGACAATTCTGCTCACCTGACAAGGTAGTATGTCACATTAACTACCTTTCAGAGAACTTTAGTATTTCTAATTTCCTCTAGCTCAGACCTTTACACTTTGAGAAGTCCTTTGAATTACTAGAACTCCTGTGCAAACAAGCCAGCAAGGATCCACTCAGTAGTATTCACAAGCACACAATTTTGTGACCCACATAGCTAAATAAGGGATTCGTAGACAACTTGGAGGCAGTGAAATATTTCTGAATGTGCAGAAACTGATAGTTAATTTGGTATTAAACATGAAATGAATCAGTGTTTTTGACAAGTCTTCCCCATCACATGATGTCACCCCAGCCTTGGATCTGAACATACATCATGAGTGCTTTGCATTGCATATGCTGCATTCTGTTCAGTACCAATGAATACTGGCTACAGCATCTTGATATGTCATGTATTGCAGTGTTTTTACACAAAGAAAGTCTGACTTTTGTGGAGACATAATGATTTACTTACAGAAGAAGACTTACATTTTTGCTATTGTCATTTTCTAGCATATAAGTATCAAATTAGTAATTTTTGGCTTGTATGATATTTGGTTTTTAAAATTGTTCTTTTAGTTACTCATTTTAGTTTCACTTAATAATAAGTGAATCATTTAGAGAGATGAGTTGTCTCAGAGGGTAAAGTATTTGCCATGCAAGCATAAGGACATGAGGTAAACCACTAGAATCCATTTAAAAATCCATGTGGTACTAGTATAGCCTATAACCAACCCCAGTGCTGGGGACAAGGTGGATCATGGGGCTCACTGTCCAGTCAGTCTACCTCAAATTAGTTCTGGATTAAGACTTTCTTTCAAAAAATAGGTGAGAACAATTGAAAAAGATATCTGATGGTTCTCTGACCTCCACATGCACACACATGCAGAACACATACACAAACATACATACATAATGTAGGGCACATAAGCCAGTCAAAGATGGCCCTGAGGGAAAGTCAGATAGACAAGTCCTGAGTTGTTTACAAAAAGAGATGATTGGTTGCCTAGATTGAAAGAGATGAGGTCACTGCATATTCACTAGGTAAAGCATAGGGCACCTAGGCAGGTGATAGGCTGACCTTTAAAACTATTGGCTGGCTATTTTCCTGCTCTGTGGTTTTTCCCTTTAAAAAGATGCTTATTGCGGGGCAATAAATGAGTTCCTGCTTGTCTAGACTCCCTGCTGCATCTGATTGACTGGAAAACAGGAAAACAGAGCACTTACCCTTCCTCTGACCAAGCTCAGCCTTCCGTGGTTGTTCTAAGACCCTGCACATAATACATACACACTAGCACACATAGACCAATTAATAATTTTGGATTGAAATTGGCATAGAATTTCTGAAATGGTCCTAAGAATACTTCTGTCAGTATCTTTTTACTATACATTTATGGAAATGGCATTCTCAATGTTGACAATCATGAAATCAAAATATCAATCTTTAATTTTTTTTTTTTTTACCTACAGGTGTTTGTTTTGTGTGCACATTATGGCTTCTGGTTTATAGTTTTTTATGGGATTTCTCTCTGTGTGTGAACTTGTGTGTGTTTCTGTGTCTATATTGAAGGAACCGGTTTCCCTTTTGGCAGCCATAACAGCCGAACACGTGCTTGCCATAAACCCGCCTTGGTCACTTAGAGGTCAGATGCCTGTCTCGTGACAAGGAACCTTAGTCACTTAGAGGTCAGATGCCTGTCTCGTGACAAGGAACCTTAGTCACTTAGAGGTCAGATGCCTGTCTCGTGACAAGGAACCTTAGTCACTTAGAGGTCAGATGCCTGTCTCGTGACAAGGAACCTTAGTCACTTAGAGGTCAGATGCCTGTCTCGTGACAAGGAACCTTAGTCACTTAGAGGTCAGATGCCTGTCTTGTGACAAGGAACCAATCAGAAGTTAGCTGGTGGCACTATGCTTTATCTGTTGTTTGTTTTGTTCTATTCTGATTTGCTTGGTTTTGTTTTATCTCATTCTATTAGTATTTTTAGAAGCTGGTTTGTTGATTTGGATGATCTAGCCAATTGGGAAGGAAGTTGCAGGAGCTGGGGGTGGAGAAACTGTAATCAGAATATATTCTATTAAATAATCTGTCTTCAATTAAAAAATAGAAAAAAATGAAGATACCAATGTCCTATACTATAAAATACTCAGGCATATTCTATTTATGTAAAACTAAGCATATCCACCTCATTAATAGGTAAATTTGCATTTGTCTTCACTACATGGTAAATTTATAAGTCTGCAAGAACTGCTTTAAAATAAATTTATTTTCAGTAAATGTATGCCTTGTATAAACTTATATGCTCATGGTTACTGGAAAGGTCTAACATGGTGGATAAATGCAAGTTATGAAGGTCTGAAAATGTAAGTTACAAATGTCTGAGGATAAAAAGGCTTAAGTGATGATAAAGTGAGTTGAGACATTAAAAAGAATGAAATATGTTCCTGATTTCTCTTTCTTATGCTACTGTTCATAGTAAAGTTCTACAATATCACTGTATGATCATAACTACTAGGTCAAGATTAAGATGCTTTTCATTGTCCTAAAAAAAAATCTGTCAATGTTAATGCTTTCAGCCAAGTTGCTTCTAACAAGAATATGCTGCTAATATTTCTCATGTTTCCACAAATTCTAAGGATTCTTGCAAGTTCCAGGGAGCTGAATTGGATCCAAACAAACAGGTCTAAGAGGGGCCAGGGAGTTCCATACAGCCTGGACTGCAATGAAACAACCAGCTACCCCAGGACGTGGCAGCACCCCAACCTTCTCGGGTCCCCCAAAGATGATCAATGCCCCCCACGTCAGCAGGAAGTAGTCTTGAGAATTTGATGCTCTCATTCCTTATTCTGCCATGTCTAACACCCCACCTTTTTAAATAATAAGTAGAGGTGGGAATGAAAGTTACAGGCTTTAATGCTGATCAGTTCTACCTCTTTAAGAGACAGACCCTGCCCCCTAACAACAGTCAGGGCACGCACAGGAAAATGTGCTACACCATCACCACATCACCCGCCATGCATTACAGCCTGTGTGAGGACTCTGGGCATGCATGGAACCTCAGTGCGCATGCGCAGTCTTCCCTTTAAAAGCTCCAACTCTCTGCTTCTTCTCTCTCTGCCTCTTCTTCGCTCTCTCTCACCTACATGCTTTCTCTGCCTCTCTATGGCAACCAACCATGGCAGTCAGCCATTTACCTTTTTCTCTTCTCTCTTTAGTCTCATATTCTGCCAGGCCTTATAATAAACTGCTTAATATGTCTAATAATAAACTGGTTAACATGTCTCATCTGCCTCTTTTCCTCTTTTTCTTTATATCCAATTTAAACAAAAACATAACAGTTACACTCTCAAATGTGGTATAGTTGGTCTGTGTACAGAAGAGATTACCTGGAGGTGGGGTTTCTGTAAAAAAAAAAAATTAATTGGTTGAAATAGGAAAGTAAACCCTAATTATTCTTTCCACTATCCCAAATGAAATTTATTATTTTATTTATAGGTTTATCTGCATGATAAAAGTTAGCAACACATTTAAGGAGATTTTACAATGTTTTTATCTTATCTTACAAGTTAAATTATCTTAAGCATTCAAAACTGAATTTATCGATTTATGGTATTCAGTTTTCTATTTAAGTAGTTTGTCTAACACGTAAACCTTCCCAAGTACAAATGTATACCTTCTAATTGTAATGAATTGAACTTATGCATATGTTAATGATTCAGTATCATAATTTCAAAGTCTCTTAACTATTCTAATATGGTTTCTACACATGCTTCGACACTCTGGTACATTTCACCCTAAAACCCTGAGTCTACATCAGTAAGAAAATTGGATACTTAAAGCAGCATGAGGAATTTTTTATTTGCTTTAGTATTTCAATTTTTCAGAAGAGCAAATAAATAAAAAAATTTCTGAATTTAACACAAAATGGTACTATTGTATACTATTTTAATTCTGTCTTTGATTTCCTAATGTCCCAGAATGAGAAACCTCAGCATAACTTGAAAAACTGCTAGAAATGCAGGCTCTTGGGAGCTACTCCAGACCTGCTGGATCAGAAATGCAGAAATGAAGCCCTGCAGTGTGTTTTAATAAAGCTTACAGGTATTTTGAATCATGTTCGACTCTGATAACTGTTACATATTTAATTTTGAAGTGCTTTCATTGATATGGAGATAATTAAAGTATGTAACCATCTGGGGGTTGCCTTTTCACAGGTACTTGCAGTTAAATTCTCCACTGGCCAAGGTTGCATCTTAGTGAGAATTTTATGTAGGGAGAAAATTTAGGATATTACCTACCTGGAGTTATATTTTTACAGATAAAATTTGCTTAAACCTAAAGATATGAACTTCATGTAAAATAGTTCCTGATCCCAGCCATAACTGCCACAGAGCATACAACTGAGAGACTCACACACTGTTTATTTTTGATTTCTAACTTTGGTATCTAAGTGATTAGATATATTTTTTCCTTTGCTTGATCCTAGACTGAATCCCTTTCATGTATGTTTCTCACTGGTAGTATTCCAATTATTTACAGGATACTGTGTAATATCTCCCTCTATGTTTAAGACACACTGACTTTGATTCAGTTTCTGAAGTTGTGTTTTTCAAGACTCAACACAAAGGAGAAGAAACATGTTTGGATTTGAGATAAAATTTGTAAAGTGGTACTGTGCAAATCATATGAATAAAAGAGACACAAAAGTAGCATTATTGCAAGGCAATGGAAGACTTTTATTTTTTTTTTTTACAGTAAAATACAATACAATCACTATCCTTACACACAGAGTTATGCAATAAAGCACTCCTACACTTGAGCAGGAGTAAAGGAGACACAAAAGTAGCATTATTGCAAGGCAATGGAAGACTTTTTTTTTTTTACAGTAAAATACAATACAATCACTATCCCTACACACAGAGTTATGCAATAAAGCACTCCTACACTTGAGCAGGAGTAAACAGGAAACCCAATATTTTCTTTGCCTCCTAATGAGTCCCTTGAGGGTATAAAGATTATTTGAGCCAACACACTTAGGACAAGGATCAGCAGAAGAAACTCAAGCTCTCAAGGGGGGCTCTGTTTTGTGAAGGGAGGAAGAGAATAGGGCTCATATCCAGGGCTCATAAACAAACAAAACAAAACAAAACAAAACAAAAAACTGACTTCTTATTTATGTGTAAGAAATGAAGAACAGTTGGGATGAAGAATTTGAAAAATGAGAAACACCTGTGTCAAAGAGATGACACTATGAGCTGTGTAAAGTAAGAAAACGACCGCTCCAAGATATGGCTAAGGAGAGGTTTTATTGTAGATATGAGGGACACTATATCCAGAGACATCTGGAAAAGTCCAGAGTTGGAAGAGAAAGTAGACTAAGCATAACCAGCAGACTGAACTGGGCCATGAGATTAGATAGAAAGGAAGAGAGTGAGAAGAAGATTGTGCAGACAAAGGAGACCAGGAGAGAGGGGCAAGGATGGGAGCAAGATAGCACATGGCCAAAATATCAGAGCTTTATAGAAATCAGAAGCTGGGGGAAGGGAAGCCTATGAGCTAGTGAAGTTTAGGGTTGAGGGCAGAGTGTGAAGAGACAGTGGTATTGAGTGGCCTGGAGGTCAACATGCTCTTTGGCATGCTAATAGACTCCACTCTTGCCCATTTATTTCTTTTGTGCCTGACATGAACCACATCTGCAGGAAATGACAAGCATGAGAATAAACTAGTACAGCACCAATATGGGGGGAATATAACAAGAGAAACTAAACAATAATAATTTTTTAAAAAAAAGAAGAAAGGAGGTGGGGTGTTAGGAGAAAATGGAACATTAATTAGCCCAATAAATCACAGTCTTTGGTAAAGACATTCTTATTTGCCAAGATGAAAGCTTCAGGCTACTGGCTCTTCCATAATATATTTGGCAAAGAAACCACCAGTTGTGTTGGAATACATCATTTTTTCACAAATTGTAGAGCCTATAGTGAAATCTTTCCCAACTGTTGGATAACAGTTATAAGTTAATAACACTATCACTAAAGGGAACAGACATCCCATTGGGGAAGGGGAAAGAATAGAGAGGTATGGATGGAAGTTGGTATGGGAATGGACCAAGTGGGGAACAGGGGAAGGAAAGATAGGGATGCAGGAGAAAATACATGGAGAAACATCTAAAAATAAGGGGGATGTGAGGAGTACTATGGAAACCTAATACGGTAGAACTTTCCTAAAATATATACATATGTGAAGGCAATCTAAATGAAATCACCAAATAAAATGGAAGACAGCCTCAACCGGACATCATTTGTCACCAAATGAAGCTTCCAGTGCCAGCATTGGGTTGAGTTGGGATTTAATTGATTTGTTGGCCAAAAAATTCCAGTGTAGCCCCAAACAACCCAGGCTGTTGCTAAGATTATGGGTTGGTATCCACAAACTGACAGCGAGGCACCATTGGTGAAGACAACACCTACACAAAACTAATTGAACATAGAGAAGTCAAGCTGGTACCTACATAGAGCCTTCACCCCTGAAGTGTCTTTGGTTCAGGAAGGTACTCTGCATGCTACCAAAGGAAAAGCATAAACACCAACTCAGCCACAAACCCTTTAATCTATAATGTCCTGCCTAAGAGATAGGCTAGTACACTGGTGACACAAAGTTTCTGGGAGTAGCCATTCATTATCAGATTTGACTTAAGGCCCATTCCATCAGATGAAATCCATACCCAACACTGCTTGGGGGACCAAAAACCTAAGACTAGATAGCCCAAGGAACTCATGTAAAACCAAATGATACTTTTCTAGATAGATAGATAGATAGATAGATAGATGGATAGATAGATAGATAGAGATAGAGAGATAGATAATTGATAAAATGTGATGTTCCGCTATACTCACAGATCAGTGCCTTGCTGAGTTATCATCAAAGAAGCTTTCTTCTGAACCAAATGGAAACAAATACAGAGACCACAGACAGTGATTATGCAGAGAATTAGATACTTTGGAACATACAGTCATAAATGGGATGTTTCCATCAAATTCTTTCTCTCAGAGGTCAGGGAACCCTTTCAGAAGACTGAAAGAGTTGTTCTTTGCCTATAAAATAAATAAATAAGTAAATAAATAAATACAAACAAAAAACCTGAATATCAAGAAAACAAATCACCCATTTAAAAAATAGGGACTAGAACAGTGTTCTTTCACCCTTTTATTTAAATTAGAAACAAGCTTGTTTTACGTGTCAATCCCAGTTCACTCTTCTTCCCCTCCTCTCCTGTCCCCCCACTGATCCTCTATACCATCCCCCTTTCTGCTCCCCAGGGAGGGTGAGGCCTTCCATGGGGGATATTCAAAATCTGTCACATCATTTGGAACACCGGCCTAGCTAGAACCTTCCCTGTGTGTCTAGGCTGGGAGAGTATCCCTCTATGTGGAGTGGGATCACAAAATACATTACTGTATTGTGTATAAATACTGATCCACTATCTGAGGCCCTATAGATTAACCAGACCTCCAAACTGGCATCCTGATTCAAGGGGTCTGGAATAGTCCGATGCTGGTTTCCCAGCTATCAGTCTGGGGTCCATGAGGCCCCCCACCCTTGTTCAGGTGTTTTTCTGTGTGTTTCTCCAGCCTGGTCTTGACTCCTTTGCTCATCACTGCTCCCTCTCTGCAACTGGATTCCAGAGTTTAGCTCAGTGTTTAGCTGTGGGTTAGAATCGTGTTCTTAAAGGATGAAACACAAATGGCTGAGAGACACTGAAAGAAATGTTCAGAATCCTTAGTCATCAGAGAAATGAAAATCAAAACTACTTTGAGATTTCATCTCATATAAATCAGAATGGCCAAGATCAATAAAACAAATGGCAGTTCATGCTGGAAAGGATTCAGGATAAGGAGAACACTCATCCATTGTTTATAGGAATGTAAACTTGTACAGCCACTACAGAAATCAATATGTTAATTCCGTAGGAAGCTGGGAATAAATCTACCTCAAGTTCCAGCTATACCACTCGGGTATATACCCAAAGGATTCTATTACCTACTACAGAGGTTCATTGCTGCTCTATTCATAACAGCCAGAAACTGGAACCAATTTAGATGTTCACCAATGGATGATTAGATAATGAAAATGTGGTACTTTTACATAATGGAATATTATGCATCTGATAAAAGGAAATTTCTGAAATTTGCAGATAAATGCCTGGAACTAGAAAAGAATCATCCTGCTTAAGATAACCTAGACTCCAAAAGACAAATATTTTTTTTCTCTTATTATGAATGTTAACTTTCAAACCTCTAATATGTGTGCTACAATCCATATGACCACAGAAGTTACATATCAAGTAAGAGCTTATTGGAGTGGAGGATCTCCCAAAAAAGAGGGAAATAGAATATATAGTTATGGAGAGACAGTGGCGGACTGGAGTGGGAGGATTAAATGGAAGGTGGGAACAGTCAATAGGGGTAAGAGAGAAAGAGAAAGAGTGTGTTGTTGGCTGGATAGGGAAGAACTGCAAGCAGTTGAGGGTGGGTAAAAGTGAGATCGAATATACTGGTTGGAAATAAATTTAAAAAAACAATTGAAGTACAAGCAACAGAAAACAATAAACAAAATAGAAGAACACACACACACACACACACACACACACACACACACACACACACACACACACACACCCCAACAAGTTTAGGCTGGTAGGAATATCGAGTTTGGTGGATAGACACAGACTATAAAGCCAGAGGGATAAACTTAGGTTGGAATAGCTGATAGTCTTTAGCTGATATTAAAAAAATAATAATAACCTCTTAGATTCTCTACAAGAAAAGGAACTGAAATGTTAGAATTTGCACTGTATGGATTCAACTCAACTTTTAGATAAAGATGGTGGAAAATATCCCCTTTGATGTTTAAGTCTAACAAAATTTTGTGATTAATAGTTTATTCAGTGCAGCTAGGGTTAGAAAGAAAAGCTTGCATTCTGTACTTGCATTCAAAACTCAGCCCTGTCAATAGCTATGGGATTACTTAACCTTGTTGAGCCTCAGTCTCTGTCTTGGAAAAAAGGATGAAAACAGTGCTATCTTCCTGCAGGGCTTCTG